GTTAAAAAAAAAAAAATCTTCAGAAAAAAAGGAATCTCGCTGGAGATGCTGTCCTTAAGGAAATCCACTTGAGAAATTCATCCAGACTTGGGCCTGATTTAGGTTATGTAATTCTAAATTTCAAGCTTATGCTGTAATAGGATTAGATTTTGGGGTGCCTTGAGAAGGGGTGAGCGAATTTTGCATATGGTAAGAATATGAAAATTGGGTAGCTAGTCCTCAGAACTGCCCCCAGAGATCCATCGACATAATATTCAGGGTCTTGGATATTCTCCCAAATTTTATCAGGGCTGAATATGCAGAATAGAATAAGGCAGAAGTGATGGTATGTGACTCCTGAAGCTCAGAACTAGAAGTCATCATCTCCTCTCCTCTCTTCTCTCTCCCACCCTTCTCTCCAATTGCTTTTCTGGGAGAAATCAGCTCCTGTGTCATAAAGACAATTGAGAACGCTATGGAGATGTCCTCAAGACAAGGACAAAGAACCGAGCCCTCCTGTCACAAGTCAGTGTGGAACAGAGCCATGTGAGGAAGCCGTCTTGAAGGCATTTCCTCCAGATCCAGTCATGCCTTCAGGTAACTCCAGTCCCAATCAACATCAAGACTGAAACTCCTGAGAGACCTAAGCTAGAACCACCTGACTCTCAGAAACTGCGTGAGACTACAAATATTTGATGTGCTAAGCCACTGACTTTTGAGATAATTTTAATGCAGCAATAAATAATTCAAATGGTCTGCATATTTATTTTCTGACTCCCCAAACTTATTAGCTTGTGTAAAGTCAAAAAAATATTGATGGTGGGCCTCCCTGGTGGCGCAAGGTGCAAGTCTCAGCACTATGAAGCTATCAGTAGCCACTGCCTGTCCCTGGCCAGGGAGTTAACCCACATGGCGCAGCAGACCTCTCCTGTCTCGTCCACTGCTTCCCTCTGCAGTGTATTTCAGTCAATCCACTGGCTCTGCTCCCACTCTGTCTCTGGTGAATCCTCTCTCTCACACACCCCACACACACACCTCTGGCAACACCCCAGCTCTTGTATGCATAAATAAAATAAATCTTAAAAAAACATATTTATGGTGAACTGACAGCTTAGAAAATTATTCCACACTGAAGTATTTCTCCCTTATTAATACTAGCTACCAACCTTGCCATCTAGTCGACTGCAGACTGAAACTTTTAAGTTTTGAAAAAGATAAACTGCACCAAGTCCATGGAAGTGCTATTAGAAAACTGGTGAATCTGGGGCCTCCTTGGTAGCGCAAGGGGTTAAGATGCAACCTATGAAGATATCCACAGCCACTGCAGCACGAGTTAGATCCCAGGCCAGGGAGCTACCCACATGGCACATGGAGCATCAGACCTCTCCTGACTCGCCCACTGCTCCCCTTACCAGTGTATTTCAGTCAGTCTGCCTGTTCTGTTCCCCACTCTGTCTCTGGTGAATTCTCTCACCCGCCCCCACACATACCACAGACCTATACCCGAGTTCTTGTATGCATAAATAAATACATCTTTAAAAAAAAAAGATAAGGGCAATTTATGCAGCTACATTGAAATCAACCTTATAGCTTTCAGGGAGTGGATATATACTCTCAAATAGAATGTTTCAACAGTACTCTATGTATACATTATCATATGAACTTAGAACCACTGAGCATAAAAAATTCTCTGGTGAAATAATGGGTAGCAGAAGACTTCAACATTGGTGTTTACAGCCTCAATAGCACCCCATTCCTTAAGACAGTAGCGTCTCTCTGGAAGAATAAATGAAAAACCAGAAATCATTCCTTGTGCTGAAACAGGATTCCCAGAAACTGACTCTACTGCATAAGCAAGCATTGGAACCTCTAACTAAGGCTACCTGTTACGTAAACTAGAGACATACTTACGGAGTTCAAGACTGGGACTTAACAACAGAGTTTGAGATTTTGGTCAGAACATGCCACTGAAATATAGGCATGAGGGAAAGAAGCAAAAGGTTAATGGAAATGGTAAAAGGGCCAGTGTTAGAAGTAGCCTCCATGCTGTCACTACCTCCAATTCTACACTTACCAAGCAATTCCCAGAGTACTCAGCGAAGACTCTGCAAGAACTGGACTTCAGATTTCTTAAAAACATACTCCCATAGGGGGCCTCCCTGGTGGTGCAGTGGGTTGAGCACAGCGCTGTGAAGCTGTCCACAGCCTCTGCAGTGCAGGTTTGATTCCCGGCCGGCCAGGGAGCAACCCACATGGCACAGCAGACCTCTCCTGTCCTGCCTGCTGCTCCCCTCAGCAGTATCTTCGGTCAGTCTGCCTATTCTGCTCCCCGCTCTGTCTCTGGTGAATTCTCTCACCCTCCTGTGCCTCTGGCATGTACCCCAGCTCTTGTATAAATAAAATAAATCATAAATAAATAAATAAACATACTCCCATGGGAAGGAGAAGAGACTATTCTGCCTGTGTGGGTTAAGGCTGAAAGAGCCTTTGGATGAGCTAATCCACCAGAAGCTATTGATTGCCGTTTGGGAAATTAGGATTAATTAGCACAAGATAGTAATGCATAGAGCTTAGTTGGCAAAAATCAGACTTCAAAAGAACATGAAGAGGTAGAGAGTGCATCCATAACCTCAGGAAATAGAGTAAAACAAAGGATATTTGTTGACATTGATGAGCTCAGATTTTAGAGTTGATGTTGATGTGGCTTTAAAAAAAAAAAAAGATTTATTTATGCATACAAGAACTGGGGCATAGGCCAGAGGTGTGGAGGGTGAGAGGATTCATCAGAGAGTGGGAACAGAACAGGCAGATTGACCAAAATACACTGCTGAGGGGAGCAGTGGGCACAAAAGGAGAGGTCTGCTATGCCATGTGGGTCACCTCCCTGGTGGGCCAGAAATCGAACCAGCGCTGCAGAGGCTGCAGACAGCTTCATAGCACTGCGCTCAACCTGCTGCGCCACCAGGGAGGCCCTCATGTGATCATCTTAATACATGAGGAAAAATTATTATTATCACATTATTATTGTCACATTATTTCTCTTCTTTGTTGTGTTGAAATGATGAATTGCAATGACTGATTTTCTTTTTTTTTAAGGTTTATTTATTTATGCATACAAGAACTGGGGTACAGGCCAGAGATGCGGGGAGTGAGAGGATTCACCAGAGACAGAGTGGGGAGCAGAACAGGCAGACTGACTGAAATCCACTGGTGAGGGGAGCAGAGGGCGAGACAGTAGAGGTCTGCTGCACCATGTGGGTTTCTCCCTGGCCAGCCGGGGATTGAACTTGTATGGCAGAGGCTTTGGATTGCTTCATACCGCAGTGCTTAACCCCTTGTGCTGCTAGGGAGGCCTTGCAATGATTGATTTTCAAGTGTAAAATCAATCCTGTACTCCCAGGAAGAACTCCACTTGGGCATGATTAGTACACTTTTTATATACTGCTGAATTTAGTTTGGTCATACTTTGTTACAGATGTTCTGTGTTTATTAGGGATATTAATTTGCAATTTTTCTTACTTGTCATGTCTTTACATGGATTGTAATGTCTTTCTCAGGTAAAATTAGTCTCACAAAATGAATTGGAAAGTATTTACTCCTCTTCTATTTTCCAAAAGAGATTGTGTAGAATTGGTATTATTTCTCCCCAAAGGTAACAAAAACATCTGGTTCTGGAGTTTTTCTTCTCAGTAGGCTTTTTTTTTTTTTTTAAGATGCTATCGTCTTTTTTTTTAAGATTTATTTATTTATTTATACAAGCACTGGGTACAGTCAGAAGCGTGGGAGGGTGAGAGAATTCACCAGAGCCAGAGCGGGGAGCAGAGCAGGCAGAAGGACTGAAGTACACTGCTGAGGGGAGCAGCGGGCAGCAGGAGAGGTCTGTGCGCCATGTGGGACCCTCCTCCAGTGGCCGGGGAGCAGCTGGGGATCGAACCAGTGCTGCAGAGGCTGCGGGCAGCTTCGCAACCCAGCGCTCAACAACGGCGCCACAGGGGAGGCCCTCAGTAGGCTTTTAACTATAAATTCAACTTCCTTAATAGGTAAATATGATATTGTGGTTTGTAATAAGAAATGTATATTTGGGCTTTGTTCCAGTTTGGCACAAAGTTCCTAGAGCCCTTAGAATTTCCTAAGTGATGAAAATATTCTCTTCTTGTATAAGTGAAGCGACTTCTGGAAAGCACCTAAATATGGGGTCTCGCTGCCAGAGGGGTCAACCAAGTGATCAGAATGTTAAAACTTTCAGTCCTACCCACCCTGATCAACAACATCTAGGCAATCATTTTTCCAGTCCTCTTACTGAAAGAGTGCTTTTCTCTTCCAGTCTTGGTCACTGGCACTACCAGCTCTGCATGCCTGGGGCTTCCCTGGTACAAAGTGGCAAGAGAAAAGAAGGAAGAAATAAGAGACTTTCCCAAACGCACTTTGACCAATGGGGTCTCCTTTTTCTAGTGCCTGGTTAGGAAGGCAGGTTTTCTTTGTTTTACATGCCCACACCACTGTCCCCATTGCTGCGTGCTCTATGCCTTACAACACCTGTGAGTCAGAACCAAGAGAGGAAAAGAGAGAAGTAAAAAAGGGGAAGTCAGCACCACCCTTTTGACCTTGCAGATGCCCCTTTTCTTAGTTTTTTGGCCAGAAAGACAGGGTTTCTGTCAGAGCTTGCTGCTGTGCAACCCCACACTGAGTTCATGCTCAGGTCAAAGTCAGGAGATAAAATAATTAAACAAATGGGGAAACTCACCCCAGTTACATGCCATTCTTCAAGTTCTGGCTACTCTCCCAGTTGGCATGGCATTATTAACTTTACAGATTCCTCAGGTGATTTGTTGCATTTTGTAGAGTTTTCAGTTGGAGGAAATAGACTGTATCGTGCTTATCAGAAGTCATTGTTAAATTTTAATAACACATATGTGCAATGGATGAATGTGCAAACATCACACTAAGTAAAAGAAGCCAGACACAAAAGACCACATGTTGTATGATTCCAGTTACACAAAATGTCCAAAATAGACAAATCCCTGCAGCCAATAATACCTACCATGCTCTTCTTCCTGGGGGCCCAGTGTGCAAAGCTGTAAACAGCAGCCTCCTTGATAGTGTCCTTGGCCTATTGCTTGTCTGGGTTGTTCTAAGGACCTTGGAGACAGCCCTTGCTGTCCCTGATGTTAGACTCCAGGCAGGTGGTGCAGGATGCCTTTGGGAAGCCCCAGGGAACAAGGACCAGGGTCCACGTTGGCCAAGTCATCATGTCCATTGGTACCAAGCTGCAGAGCAAGGAGCATTGAGCAAGGCTCTACACAGGCCAAGTTCACGTTCTTTGGTGGCCAGAAAATCAGTATCTCCAAGAAGTGGGGCTTTACCAAGCTTAATAAGGATGAGTCTAAAGACACAGTGGCTGAAAAGCAGCTCATCCCAGATGCCTGTGGGCTCAAGTACTTCCAGAATCGCAGCTTCCTGTATGAATGTTGGGCCCTGCACTTGTGAGCACAAAAGAGCTATCCCCTTGTTAGTCACGCAAATAAAAAGCACATTCTTGGGTCTCCTTGGTGGTGCAAGGGGTTGAGACACGACCTATGAAGCTATCTGCAGCCACTGCAGCACAAGTTCAATCCCCCACCAGGGAGCTACCCACATGGCGCAGCAGACCTCTCCTGTCTTGCCTGCCGCTCCCCTCAGCAGTGTATTTCAGTCAATCTGTCTGTTCTGCTCCCCACTCTGTCTCTAGTGAATCCTCTCACCTCCTCCCCCCCCCACACTTCTGGTCTGTACCCCAGTTCTTATATGCATAAATAAATAATTTTTTTTTAAATTTAAAAAGCACATTCTTACCCAGAAAAAAAGAAAAAGAAAAAAATAGGTAGGCAAATCTATGGAAACAGAAAGTAGATCCATTGTTTCCAGGCTTTGGGGAGAAAGAAGAATGGCAGGGTAACAAGAAGAAACCCCACTTATACGGTTTCTTTTGTGGGTGGCAAAGTATTCTGAAATTTGATAGTGGTGAAGATTGCATAACTGTGAATATACTAAAAACCACTGAATTGTATGCTTCATAAGGATGAAGGATTTTAAGGATTTTATGGGTGTGAACCATAAATTAATAATTGTTATCTTCAAAAATAACATGTAGGGCCTCCCCGGTGGCGCAGTGGTGGAACGCTGGGTTGCGAAGCTGCCCGCAGCCTCTGCGGCGCCGGTTCGATCCCCGGCTGCTCCCCGGCCACTGGAGGAGGGTCCCACATGGCGCGCAGACCTCTCCTGCTGCCCGCTGCTCCCCTCAGCAGTGTACTTCCTTCTGCCTGCTCTGCTCCCCGCTCTGGCTCTGGTGGATTCTCTCACCCTCCCGCGCTTCTGACTGTACCCAGTGCATGTATAAACAAAGCAAACAAACAAACAAATAAATAAAAAAAACATGCCTCTATAAAAAAATAAAAAAAAAATTATAAAAAAAACAAAAATAACATGTAAATTTAAGATTTTCATTACTTAATTTCAGAAAATATTGTATTCTAATTGAAAGTTAATTTTGAGAACTCTTATACTGTTGACTCCTGACATAACTACACATGTTCATAAGCAAGTTCATCAACAGTTCAGAATTATCCACCTTACTTTGAGTGCAGTTTATCTCTAGGCCAAGTCTGAAGGAGTACTCATTTTGAAGTTGTGCTAACATCAAAGGCAATTTTTTAAAAATTTAATCTCAATCTCTGAAGTACACTTTGATTCCAAAAAAAAAAAAAAAAGCAAACATAGGCGGATCAGCTTAGATCCTGCTATCTGCTATATACAGTTTTTCTTTCCTGAGTTCTTTTTTTTCCTGCTGTGAAATTTTAAGTACAATTAATCAAACACAAAAATATTTGCAAACAGCTGGAGTCAGCCTTAAACAACAAACTACCAAGTTTAAATTGTTCCTTGAAAAAAGAAAACCTCATTCACTGTTGGAAATGTAGTCTGATCCAGTCCCTATGGCAAACAGTATGGAGGTTTCTCAAAATATTAAAAATGGATCTACCATATGATCTAGAAATTCCCTTCCTAGGAATTTATCCAAATAATGCAAATACATTAATTGAAGAGACACACTACATTCATCAAAGCACTATTTATAATAGCCATGTTATAGAGAGGGACAGGTGAATGGATAAAGATGTGGTACATACAGAAAATGGAACACCAAAAAAAAAAAAATGAAACCTCACCATTCACAAAAATATGAATAGAACTGGAAAATGTTCTAAGCAAAATAAGTCAGAAGGAGTCAAACACCAGATGATATCACTTATCAACTGTGAAGAAAGAAGAGGAACAAAACAAACAAAACAAACCCTAGAAATCTGATTGCAGAAGTCAGGCTACCAGAGCAGGGTCAGGGAGGGGTCACAGCCGGGAGGAGTTCCAATAGACTAAGGTTTACTGTGCTTTGGGGATGGTGGATGTGGTAACATACAATTGAAGGGGTGTATAATCCTACACCCCTAAATCTTTTTTTTAAATTTTTTTAAAAAAATTTTTAAAGATTTCTTTCTTTCTTTATTTATTTATTTATTTATACAGTCAGAAGCGCGGGAGAGAGAATTCACCAGAGCCAGAGCAGGGAGCAGAACAGGCAAACTGACAAAATACACTGCTGAGGGGAGCAGCGGGCGGCAGGAGAGGTCTGAGTGCCATGTGGGACCCTTACCAGTGCCCGGGGATGGAACCAGTGCTGCAAAGACTGCAGGCAACTTCGCAACCCAGTGCTCAACCGCTGAGCCACTGGGGAGGCCCACACCCCTAAATCTTATACAGTGTTGTAAGCCTATATTACCTCAACAAAAATAATAATTAATTGTTCCTTTAAGACTGACCATAGAAGGACATCGATGATGGCTCAAGGGGTTAGAATGAAGCACTGTGAAGCTCTCCACAGCCTCTGCTGCACGAGTTCCAGTTCCATCCCCTGCAGGCCAGGGAGCAGACCTCTCCTGTCTCACTGCTGCTCCCCTCAGCAGTGTGTTTCAGTCAATCCACTGTTCTGTTCCCCACTCTGTCTCTGGTGAATCCTCTCACCCCCCACACCTCTGGCCTGTACCCCAGTTCTTGAATGCATAAATAAATAAATCTTAAAAAAATAAGACTGACCATAGAAATTACAAAGCCATTAACTATGCAACAGCAAAATATAAGAAAGTCAGCATTTACACAAAAAAGAATCAAAGTTCAAAGACAAAAAGTAAATTCAAAGTACAAATCCACAATTTTTCTTATTTACTAATTTTTTTTAAAGATTTATTTATTTATTTATTTATTTCTACAAGCACTGGGTACAGTCAGAAGCGCGGGAGGGTGAGAGAATTCACCAGAGCCAGAGGGGAGAGCAGAGCAGGCAGAATGACGAAGTACACTGCTGAGGGGAGCAGCAGGCAGCAGGAGAGGTCTGCGTACTTTGTGGGACCCTTGCCCGGAGCCGGGGATCGAACCGGTGCTGCAGAGGCTGTGGGCAGCTTCGCAGCCCAGCGCTCAACTGCTGCGCCACCAGGGGAGGCCCCTTATTTACTAAATTTTTTTAATTTTAAATAATTTTCTGTCATATACAAGTTTCAATAAAAGAAAATTTGACTGTCTCCAATTATTTCCAGGCATGATTACTATAATTATTAGTATCATTTTATGATTACCAAAATTAATTTAAGGGCGTTAAAAATTATCTGCTTTCGGTGTTAAATAAGTTGGGTATGCATCTGCTCCTTGATTTGGATTGTAGCAAGGATGGCTCCTTTGATTAAAACTTCACCTTGGAAATCATGGCAGGTTGTAGTTTCCAAATATGTCCCATTGCACACAATCTTCTTATGATCACACATTGACTTTCCCTTTGACTGATGCACTTTATGTTCAGTCTCCTTGCTGCTGAGTGACTGTCTCAGCCAATGGAGGACAACAAATGATAGTCTGTGATTTCCAAGTCTATCTCATAAAAAATTCATGCTCTCCCTTTTACCTTGACTTGGGAACCCAGCCACCATGCTGTGAGGAAGCTCAAGCCACAAGGCACGTCCACATTTGGATTTTTCCACTGACAACTGGCCTCAACCATCAGATATGTGGGTAAGGAAGCCTTCAAGATGTGTCCAGTTACAGTCACCACCTGACTATAATCACGAGAAATTTCCAATAAGAAACACCTAGTCCAGATAACCTCCAGAATTGTCTCTTTTATCATTGTCTCTATTATTAGATGTAAAAATAAAACCATCACCTTACATATTACTATTATAAAAAGAAACAATTTTGGTACCAGAAGGGGGTTGCTACTGAGACAAATATCAAGGAGGTTGGCGGTGAAGGCTTAAAGGAAAGTGTTATTGGAAACCAGAGGAAAATAATCATATATGCTGGGGAAATTTTGTCATGTGTATAATGTTATGTAGTAGTGAAAACTGTTCTCTACAAAAACTTGAAAAATGGGAAATGTATCTCATAAACTCATGGATCTAAGAAAATTTCTAGGCAAAACAATGACCATACCTTATGACTTCTCCCTGCCTGTGGCAACATGCAAGAGGAGAGAGGTAAATTAAAGACAACATGTTATATATAAATGATCCAGGACTTGCTGAGTTCAAAAGCTAAGTTCTTCTTTTATTCATAGTCACTGCAGATAACTAACATAATCAGTATTGAGAAATGGTTTCAGGAAAAAATAGCCCAAGATTAAGCCAAGGATCCAACTGCAAAATCTTTTGTTAAAATCTCAGCAAGATTTAAGGTGGTGCTTCAAAAGGTCTTTTAAAGATCTTAAAGTCAAATCTGGAAAAATTTCTATGTTTAAACAATAGGGCTTTTGAGATTTTTAAGGGTACATAGTCCAAGCTAGAGGAGGATTATCACAAAGAGATTTGTTTATGGATTTTGTCTAATAGATTGGGTTATAATTGATAAAACACCCTCAAGTTGTTTTTTGTTTGTTTGTTTGTTTGTTTTTTATATAAGCTTGAACTGAAGGGAAGAGAAACAACAGAAACAGAAGAGAGACCTTTGGACCTGCAAACCTCTGTAAGAAAGAATTAGGCAAAGAATTCTTCCCTGGTGGCACAGGGGTTAAAGACAGAGCTATCAAGCTATTGCCAGCCACTGCAGCCCGAGTTCGATCCCTGGCCAGCCAGG